GGAATTAGGGGCCTGGCTCACGGCTTTCCCCTGGCTTTGCAGGAAGGATGGGGAGGAAGTAACAGGTACTTTGGCAAAATAATAACGGGGAATAAAATATAACCATTTAAAATACAATGAGACATGCTTATTGTAGGAAAACTAGTCCAATAATTTAAGATTTCACTCAGGCACATGTTGTGTGGATAGAGCCATTTAAGCTTCAGTTCACCCCTTGAAGAGTATTTAGCTATAAAATGTGCAGGTCAGAATGGATGCAAAATATCATAATCTACCTGAGTGAGGATCTGAACCTTCTCAGCAGCTACCCAAAATCAGACTTTGTCTTGGACAAAGGAAGTGGAAGGAGGGGAAGCCGATTCCACATCAGGCCTTTGCCCAAACTGAGCTTCATGGCAAACCAAAGCAGTTTACTAGAGCACACTTTAACAATCCTCCCTCCTTTCACTCGCCATAAGAAAACATGCTGGCCTCTTTGCTTACGCCTTCATCTAATAAGCATCCCCTCTGGGTTGATGTTCGAGTCAGATACTTGCATCTGTTCAAGTTTTATCCATATTCTTAGAGACGCTATCTGTGATGGGACTGCTGTCTGAGAAGACAACAGGCAGGTGGCATTAGCTCAGAGTGACGTGGAAACAAGATTACTGGTGCTCTTGACAGTGGTACCCAGAAGGGCAGTGAAAGGTCAGCCCAGGGAGCCCCTGCGAATATGGTCAATGAATATATAATTGAATACATTGTCTATATTTTATGTTATATATATAATTACATCTACAGGTTTTATTTCATATGGTAACATTAAACAATAATCATCTATTATATTAATTTATACTAAATATATAAAATAGAATAATAGTTCCCAAATCAGTTAAAAGAAATAATACTAAACGCTGGTCTTGAGAGCCAAGGAAACAACATCAATAATTTCACGCGAGGACTGGAGCTCTGAGGTGTTATTAAATCTTCCTGTGTCTCCAGGACCTGCCTCCAAAAAACTAGAGCCAGGCTTACAGGATGTGCTATCGACACCTGAATCGGAGCTTGCCCAACAGGGATATCTTTTCAGGTTTTGGTTTTCTCATTCCACAGGTTATATCTGACCGCACAACAGGTGGATGGAAAAGGAAACGAGAATCCAAAAGAGCAAAGGCCACTTCCTCCTTCTGTCTTACGCTCTGGCTCGACTGGCAGCGTGATTACAAGCCCGCTGGCATGTGCAGTTGGGGGGACCATCCCAGCTGTCCCGACACTTGGCAGCTTTGCTGCTGGGCAGGTGTTTGGCTCAGTGCTTCTGGGAAGGCCCAGCCTAGGCTCGTTGTTAGGAGATCCATGCACAATTCTCAGAGAATACAGGGTGGTATGCTGGCACCTACTATGAGCTCAGTAAACAGTTGAAAACACTGCCTTTCTCTATTTCACAGGCTAGAGAGGAAAATACATATCTAACAAGCCCAGAACAAATGTAAATGATCCTGTGTGGCCCATAAAAAGACTAAGAGAACAGCAGGGGGAACATTATCTGAACTGGAGAGGTCTTGAAGGGCTTTTCGGAAAAACTAACACTGGATCTAAGCCCTGAAAGATGGAAGCAACAGGCATGGAATCTGAGGAAAGGCATTCCAGGCGGGGCAAACCCATCCATAAGGGATCTTTTGTGGGGGTGGGGCAAGGGAACAGATCTTTAAACAATACAAAGGAGACCACCATGAAAGTGGTGTGAAGAAGGGGAGAGTGGTGAAAGGCACGTGACAAGTAAGGAATTTTGATTTATATAAAATACAGTGGAACTAAAACCAGAGTGATATGATCTAATTTATATATTTTTAAAAAATTGCTCTGGCTGCTGTGAAAGGAATGGGTTGAAGGAAAGCACATGGAAATGGGACTAAAGAAGAGATTTTGAAGATTCAGAAGAAAATACTGTCAGCGGAGATGCAGAGAAGCTGAAGTAACTGAGAGATATTTTCATAATTAATTGGATGTGGGAGTGATGGAGAAGTGTCAAGATCCACTTCTGGGTTTCAGTATGAACATCGGGTGGGCACAGATGCCATTTCCTGGACTGGGACACCTGGAGGAAGAATCGGATTGGAAAGCAGGAGGATGTGGAGGGCAAGGGGAAGGAGAAGGTCAAGGGTTCAGTTACGGGGTGTTCAGTTGGCAATACCTGTGAAATATCTGAGTGGAGATGTCAGATCAGCCACAGGATATGAGTCAGAAGTTCAGAAAAGGGTGGTAGGCTAAAGACAAACATGAGACAGTCACCAGCGCATACAGGTTATTGGAAGCAACGGCTATAAAAGAATGTGAGGATACAAGAAAAGAGATTTCAGATCAGAGACAAATACTCTTAGTAACTGGTTGGATAGAGACAGGGGAATAAGCAACTGGAATTGAGATGGAAAAGCCAGAAAGATAAGTAAGAGAAAGAAAGGAAAACAAGAAGAATGTGGTATGTGGAGGCCAAGGGTGGGGGAGAGTGGAAGTGCCAAGAAAAAGGTGTCCCCTGTCTTGAATGCTCCTCAGGAGTCTAATCACAAGAGGACTGAAAAGCATCCAGTGGACTGGGCAGGGCCTAGGTCTTCAACAGTCTTAACAGGAGCAAATCTGACGGGGCAGTGGGAGCCTCGGCCACCGGGAATGAGAGGAATGGTTAAGTGGGAACTGAGGACACACAGAGCGTGAGGAAAACTGAAAAGTTTGGCTATGGTGAAGAGAAGCGAAATAAGGTAGTAGTTGGTAGAATGTTTGTTTTTCAGTAATAATTTTTAAAAATAATAACGTTGGCATGCTGACAGTAAAGGTCCAGTGAAGAGAAAGAAATGAGGGCAGAGGGCTACAGGACTGAAGACGCTGAGATGGTGACTGGCGTGAGGCCCACAGCACATCCACAGGCTCAGGACTTTGAGAGGAAGGAAAAACCTTCCTTAGCTGTGAAGAGATGGGATGCTTCTGATTTCTCAGTGAAGTGGGCAGTGAGATCATCTCACAGCCAGTGGGAGGAAAGGGGACCAAAGGTTTGAACAAAGCAAAGGTATAAAATCGCCATGCCATAAAATGGCAGAATAGTTTATCTGAGAAACACAGTAACGCTGCCAAGCAAGACTGAGTCTGCATTTGAGTTTGGTTGTCAAGAATGAGCAGTAACGTCATCCAGCCCTGTCGGTTTTCCCTTCCCTTAACCTCCTCTGGAGCCAGTTTCTGCCATTTTTCACACCATGTGATGACAGACAATAATGCCACCTTCCAAGACCGACTAATCCCCAAACAGCTGCACGAGCTGATCCTATACTTCAGGCCCCCACTGTCCCCTCTTCCATGCATAGCTTCTCTCAAGCCAGCAAAACCATAATGGGAAGGATGGAGGTGACCCCCTTGCTTGTCCCTGCCCACGCTCCGGGAGCTCCACGTGACCTTAGATCCGGACAACATAATGCAGCTTCCCCTGGGAAGTGAGATTCACCATTGACTCAACTTATTTCACTTTTGTGTAGAATCTGATGCTAACGATAGAGAGACAAATAGAACTTGCAGGCGCCATGCTACGTGCCAGCTACGCAAAGATAAATATATGGAAGGGGAAGGCAGAAAGGTTCCCTGGCTTCATGATACCCATTCTAATGTCCCACAAGTTTTCCAAAATGATACAAACAATAAAATACAAGTAAGTCCCAAAACAAAGACATCTGATGCCTCCAATGCAAGTTTCTTATTGTCTCGGTGCAGAATCTTTGAAAAGCATGATCCTCCCACACTGCACAACTAGACAATCAACCCTTTGACTTGGCTTTGAGCTTTGAAAGAAAAATATACCTATTACCCAAATGGGTTCTTTATTATTTCAAAGTCTGGGGCTAGACGAAACACCACATAAAATTTAATATGAAAAAGCTGTGCAGTTTAATCTTGACAAGCAGGAAGCCAAGATATTGATGTGTAGCTTTTAATCTGACTTCAATTTCTGACAATATCTTTTGGAGCTCATTTTCTGGCACCAAGATCAAATGCCCTTATTTATAGGTCTCAAATGAAGAAGAACCTATAAAAAGGAAGCCACATTCAGCAAAAATCCTTTCTGCATATTACCAGGAGAACTTAGTCAAACTGAACATTTTTTCTTTTTCTCAGCTTAGTGGGGAACATGGAGAGCAAGAAACAATGTGTTAAAGCTCGTTTTGCTTTTTCTTTCCCAAACTGGAATTTTAATTTTTGGTTTAGGCTTAGGTCAGCTGTAACTAATTCAGAATGTGAGAGAAGAGCAAGTAAAATATTTCCCAGTAAAAATAAACCAATAAACAGACAAAGAGAAAATACAACTACCACCCTGACTCTAAAAACTACAAGGAACTTTTCATACTTTCCCCAGTAGATGTCAGCTAACTTTCAGGTCGAGGCCTGAAATGTACAAGCAAGACCTTCTCCAAGATAAGTGTCAACTGTGTTTCACAGGCCGGTTTCCCTGGGCAGAGTGTGCGGATCTCCTGAAAACTGTAATGTGTTTTCCAGAGAGCAGTGCGCTTGCATTGAAGACCATGGCAAGGCAGGACAAAGGAGATGAATGGCTCCCACTCATCTTTTTAATGAACAGAAAATGAAAAGAAACGAGGCAACCATATTTGAATACGCTTAAGCCATTTCTCTAGGGCACCAGTGGTAAAGAAGTTCAGTATACTAAAATAATTCTTCAAAAATAACACAGTGGAATCGGAAGAGCAGAAAGGCTGATGGAAAAAACCAATTCACTCATCTCAAGCAGGAAAAGCTGCAATGAATATAAGCTTGAAATTATACAGGCTCTACTCTCTCAGCACCAGTTACCAATGCCTGACAGTTCTCAGTTGGTGACAACTTACCTCATCTTAAGACTTTTCTCTAGTGCCACTGTCTCTAGGAACAGGACACAGAAATCCATGGTAATTCATACAACATTTAGACTCAACCAAATGGGACCACTGTTTTGCACATGAAAATTGCGTTCAAATAGAATTTTCTTTTACCTTGGTCTTTTCACCAACAATGTTCTTTTCCAGTTCTGCTATCTTCCGGTTTATATGATCCAGAATCTCCTTCTCTTTAAGCAGTTCAGTTGTTTCAGATTTCTGCTCTCCATCCAAAAGAGCACATTCCATATCCAACTGCAGACACAGAACAAAGCCCAGAGGTGTTTCACCTTCAGGGAAATTCTCAGCTGCCCACTTTAGAGGCACATTTTTAACAGCTACAAATTCCAAAAAGTATCTACTGTATCAGCCAGATTGTGGGGACTACAGAACATTTCAGAGAGCCCATGAGAGTCTCAGGAGTCCTGCAGAAGAAAGCTGGAGAGCCTAGAATATACAAAAACTAGTTATTTAATTTTTCAATGATGACCCTTTTCTGCTTATTTCTCAAGGATACTTTGCTTATCTGCTTAGATTCAGGCTCAACCATGAACCATCTTGGGAGCAACCCTAAGATGCTTGTCCTTAGAGCATGGAAGCAAAAATTACACTCAGCCAGCATGCATGCACTGCATTCCTTGGCAATGCCAGCAGGAGGGGCTTCCAGGGTTTGTGCACAGCTGACAGGTGAGCAGTCCCCTTCCACTTATGGGGCTATCTGCTCATCTGTGAGTACAGACACGCAGATTCTGCCTAGGCAGAATTAGTTGCTCTTTCTCACTCCATAAAGGTAATATAAAAATTGCCCTCTTTTCAGTTAATGGTTATAATTCTAAACCCAGAATTATAGTCTGTCTGTGTCTGTCTCCCCCTTGGTTTGAAAACCTCTAGAAAGCTGGGTTTATGTTCAATTGACATGTAAATCTCCCAATAGTAACAATATGATATCCAACTCACAGTCAGCATGCTCAGAAAATATTTGTTGGATTTGAACTTGAACATCTAAATTCATGGTACCTCAGCTCACAGATCTTATAGCAAGTTAGAAAGCATATACAGTAAGTCCTCACTTAACATCATTGAGAGGTTCTTGGAATTGTGGTGAAATGATGTATAATGGTAAATTTTACCATAGGCTAGTGACAGAAACAAGAGTTAAGTTCCTATAGTGTCTCATCAATGTTAGAATGAAATAAAGTTGAACAAAACCTTACTTGAGAACCTGCTTTACTAGTTAAGACAAAATCAGTTATACATCAAGTACATGAAAAATGGCTGAATGTTTATCTCTTCTTATTAAAAAAAGGAAAAAAGAAATGTAAAAAAAATGCATTTTTATCCTATATATATACACCTGTTGAACAAATGTTTGTTCATGTTGACTTCTATATATTCTGTTTCCAATGCCTGTGCCCTAATGGGCAGCAATCATTTTAAGCTAAAAAAAAAAAAGGAAAATGGACAGGGTGAAAAATAAACTCGTAGTTTATACCTCTCTGGAAGATTCATCCATCTGGTCATTTATATCTTTGATTTTTTGTTCAAGTTCCTCGAGGTTGTTCAGAATTGCTATCCGGGTCTCTTCCATTGCAGCCAACTCCTGAATCCTCTGTTCCTCATTTATACCCTCTGGGGTCTGCAATTAATCAGCACAGAAAAAATATTCACACTTTAATTCCAGAATTGCCCAATTTATAAACAAGCCCCGGGTCTAATGTTTCTGTCTCTGTACCTATTTGGATTCTAACAGCAGCTTTGTGACAGTTTAGTAGGCACTCTGCATTTTCCCACAGATACTCAGCAGTTGGGTTCTTGGGTTAGCTCATAGAACACAACTTAAATTTTTAAGTTCGTATCTTTTTAAAGCTGAAACAACTAAGAGGTTATACAGATAAGGAAACTGTGGTCCATATAGATTGTAGTGACTTCTCCAAGGTTATATAAACAGTTGGGCACAGCAGAGACCTAGAACCCAGACAAGACTTTGACCCCTTCTTCAGAGATCTCTTGGGCATCCTGCTGCATTTCATTACAAATTCCTTATCTCTCCCACCTCCAAGTGAGGACACCTACAACAGACTCTGGAATCTCTACCATACCATTGGGTCCCACTGCTAAGGTTATCTGCAAATGGGCTTTTATGTTTATTTATTTTCTTTCAAAACAGGCTTAATGACTTCTGTGACCACCCCCCTCTCCCAAAATGATTTAAAACTAGACACTTAATATTAAGTTAATTCATGTTTTGCTTTTTGTGTGAGTACAACCTTCATCCTGTAGGACCTTCTTCCTATATAAGTTTAAGATACTACCTGGGTGAGTAGCCTTTAGTGACAGAATGCTGGCATATTTAAGTTTTATCACTCTTTAAAAACAAAGTAATTTCTTGCATCAATAAGTCAATGATTCTATAATTTCACAACCAGAAATTAAAAGCAACAGCCCAGGTAAGTAAATTATTAAAGATTATTCACTAATCATTAAAAGGAATATTCAAATTAACCAAAGAAACTATTAAAACTTACTGTACCTCACTAAGTTCATTTATTTAACAATCCTGAAAATAACTTTAAGAAGATAAGCATCGTGTTGTGTTCTTTAACCTTTATTTTCTTTATTCTTTACCCTAATTTGCTGTTCCTTAAAGAGACTAAATGATTGAGAAGTCACAAGTATCTCGGCTTTACCAGAACAAGGGTATGCAGCCCTTCCAAGCTTTGATATTTAGCTTTTCAACGGCCACCTGAAATCTCTATCTGATTGACTAATAAAACAACGGTGACCTTTTTATGACAGACAATGAATCTCATTGTCCTAATACTTAGGTGCCTGTTTTAGGGCCTGAGGAATGCCTGTAACAGTGCATGGCATTCCGAAATCACTCACGAGTAATCCTAGCAGGAAAGCCTCAAGAAGGCTGGTATCCTGTTGGGTCAACATTTTGTATCAGATTTCAACTTCCAACATGGTTTAAAAATATCTCTCACTGGTGGAAGCAAAGCATTAAGCGAAAACAAAACTGAACAATCTGCAAAACTATAAAGATAGGTGATAGTGGCAATTATAAATATCTGTATAACTCAAAGTTTCAAGAAAATTTATCACAATAGGTATATTTAATAACAAACAACTGGAGAGACTGTTTATAGCAATAAATACCATCTAAGAAATGACTGTTTTTTTACTATTATTTATAAAAAGCAAAATTTTCAAAAGGCATTCTAAAACTATGGTTTACGATAGAGTGGGGTGAGGATGTTATAATATCATTTATATCCCAAAAAAGAAAATCAATAGAGAGCCATGGGTGTGGTAGCCACTAAATATCTTTAGTTTTATGGTGAAACAGAAAGCTCTAATTTTAATCTATCCAGGATTTTTTTTTTTTTTTGTAATGGATAGGATTCCACTGAGAGTGACCTGATTTAATATGTCCATTACACATGTATGTGTGTCCTCAAATATGCCACCTTTCGGTAACTTGATAGGCACAGAGAAAGGGAAGAGAACAGGAACAGACACTTTGCATCTGTCTCCGTTTTTCGAAGATCTCTTCTTAGAAACCTCTTGCAACCAGAGGAGGCTGCAAGTGTGAGAAGTGTGAGGGCTTTCCACCGCAGACACAATGGTGGCTCGAAAAGAGAAGAGTGAAAATTCTCATTGCAAAGTAAAAAAACCATTTTTTGGTAACTATATGAGGTGATGAATGTTAACATAATTTACCATGGTAATCGTTTTGTAAATACATGTAAGTCAAGTCATTATACTGTACGCCTTAAACTTATATGGTGTGGTATGTCAATTATATCTCAATAAAATGGCAAGAAAAAAGGAGAAGAGTGAGCTACTCTTTACTTTGGCAGATAGGCTGACAAAAGCGAATTAAAATTAGAATATTTCCAAGGTCATCTGTATCTTTAAATGTTCAGTAAAGCAAGTTCCAGAATGATACATCTCAAGTTTCCTAAATATCATTAAAATCTTTGTTTTACTAAATCAGCTTAGAGTGGTTTTCACATTCCTCTCTTCACTGATTCTTAGATTGATTAATAACAAAGGCTGTATTTTGTTAATAATTCAGTGAGCAGATTACTCTAAGAGGAAGCACACCCAAAACAAATGGCCAGGACTTTTTAAAAAGAATCTCCTATCTCCCATCTTGAGGTCACACATATCTGTCTTCAAAAAGTAATAAATGAACAGAGCATTCCCTGGAACCCGTTGCCCTCTCGCTGGCCCTCTGTCTAAGCTGCTGTGTGAAAACCAGAGCAGCCCCTGCCATTTCCTGTCCCTCAGGGAGGAGCGGCCTTCTTTCTCTCATGCAGAGATGCTGCTCTAAGCTCCAGGGCCTCCTATTCCACAAAAGCACATTTGAGCAATGAAAAACATCTGTCCTGATGTGCTCATGACCATACCAACAGCTTGCTTGTCACAGCACTCTTCAGGAGGAAACCTATCCCAAAAGAGACAGTCCTTAGAGAGAGCCCACAGCTTACCATCAAAACAAAATCTAGCAGATCTCCAGGAGGGAAGAAATGTGAAAGGATTTAAGATGAAAAGGGAGCAAAGGACTTCTGAGAAAACACAATGTCTGGTGACAACAGGTCAGGTTATCAAATGACGGATCATTTACTTTGCCTGAACACCAACAACTCTAGATTTTCCTCCCAGATCCTAGCTTTTACCAGTTGCATCTTTTTGGCAGTAGAGACAGGCCTCCTATTCAGAGTTCCTCTCCACTGAGAATTAGAAAGGTAAATGTGGTCATCAGAAGAAAGAAGGGATTGAACAGTCCAGAGTCTTGATGGTCTTGGTGTATTCAGCAGGAGAACTCAAGGTAGGTAAGACTTCTGGCTAGGAACATTCAACTTTTTTAACAAGAAAAATCTTGTTGCAGCTAAATAAACAAAAATAAAAACAAATACCCAAACTCCCCTGAATAGTACTGCATGTGATAAATTACCTCCAGAATTAAGTGCCATGATAAATAATGTCTTTCTCTTAAAGAATCAATACGTGTCCTCTCATAACAAAACTACAATTAACTTATCTTTTTATGTTTGATTCTTTGGCCAGGACTACCAAGAATCTCAGAGCTGAACTTAATGGTCAAATTTACTTACTTAGTCCTGCTTGTGCTTAAATAAATTCTTGTGATTATGGTGCTTGCTTTTCCAGTACCTGCTTTTCCCTGTTATTTATTATCTTGGTGTTCTAATTTTATCTTAATAAAATATTTATCTTTTAATATCTTTTATTTTAAGTGCTCTTAAATCCTTTCTGAAAAATGGGTTAGGATAACTTTTTTTTAATTTTATAGAAAAAAATATTCTTACCCTGTGTAAAAAAAAATAACACCAAAAGATTTTCCTTGAACTCCATTTTAAAAATTCTCAGATTTGGAAGACATTTTTAAATCAGCAACCAGAAGACTAAATAATAATTATAATGAAAAATAAATCTTAAACTTTTATACGTCCCAAAAAATGTCACAAAGAAAGTCAAAAGTCAAAGTTACCACTCATGAGAAAGGACGAATTTCATTACCACAAATAGTCCCTACTCTGTAAAAACAAGACATTTAAAAAAAATGGGTGAGGAACATAAATAAGTGGTTCGAAATACAAATTGATAACTAATATTATAAAAAGATGCCCACTTTTATGCATATTAAGGACAAGTTAATTAAAGCACTTATTAACCTAGCACATTGAGAAATGTGGATATACGTAGCCTCAGCAAGTGTATGGAGAATAAGGTGTTGTCATAAACTGCTAATGAAAGTGTAACTCTTTTGAGAGTATCATTTGGATATACTGATTAACATGAATAATATACAAACTCATTGACATAGCAATTCCACTTTTAGTAAGTGACCTTACAGATAACAACTCTGCAAAGTACATATCTTACAATATTTGCTGCATGTAGATTTTATCAGCCCCAAACTGGAAACAACTTAAATAGTATTTCCAAACCTAGCACACTAGTCAGCCATTGAAATGAATGAGGGAAAGCTGTGAATACTAATAAGCAAAGATGCTCAAGACACTTGGGAAAGGGGAAAAATGCAGAACACTATGTGTGTGTACCTGTACCTATAATATATGGCCGTGTATGCACAGAAATATTTAAGAAGACATGTAAAACACTTTGTGTTTATCTTAAGTTATTCAGGTGTACAACTGGAGAATGAAGAGAAGCTTTCCTTTCTACTCCTCTGAACTGCTGTATTTTTTTCAGGGCAAATCTGCTGCTTTATAATAAACGCTAATTTGTTACACCTTGCTAATTACCTCTTAAATTAAAGCCTCACTGAAAACATTTAGAAAACAAGCATGATAGAGCCTCTGGTCTCGGCCAATGCAGATGCCCAGCCCTAGGCCCTCCATCCCAGCCTCTGTGCTCTGTTTCTTTACCTTTGGCAGGATACTTAGGTAAGTGGACTCGCTGGAAGCTTTCAGATAGGCAGAGGGGGCCGTTGGGGGAGTCCTGGTGCGGTCCCTGAGCAGGTCCTCGTTCACGGCGCTCCTGGGGGAAAGGAAGCTGGCACTGTTCTGACTGAGGCTCCCAAAGACCGCCAAGTCCACATCATGGCCAGAGCCTTTCTGGTGGCACCTGTATCTGACATCGGGGTTCACCAGGGCTTCTTCAAACACAGACTCCTCATCAGAGACTTGCAGCTTCTCGAGCTCCTTGTTGATTTTCTGCACATCTGCCACGGTGGTGCCAGTGGACACGCGGCTGTCAGGCTTTGTGTATTCAGCACAAAGGCTGAGAATCGTCTCCAGACGTTGTCTCTCCTAAAACACAGAGGGGAGGGGAAGGTCAGTGAGTCTATGAGAAAGGAGAAAGCTCCAGATAGAAAGATCAAAGAAGCCGTGACCAGCAGTGACTTCATCCCACACATGAACCACAGACACTTGGCTGCGGATGGCTTTCCATCATCTCTGATGGCCACCAGGGTTAACGATGTCTGCTTTTCCTCCCAAACATTGTTCCGGGCTGTCCCCTTTACCTGTGTATCCCAGGGCTGGTCCTAGCTCATAGCGGCACTCAGTAAGCCTTTTCTTGATTTATCAATTCTCCAAAGACTTAAAAGCTTTTTTTATCTCTACTTTTAAAAAATCTTCACCCCTTTCCTCCCTGTACCTATCTACCTTCAACAATATCTAGCTCTTTCATCACTATAAATTTAATATGTGCCCTTAAAATCAAGTCTTAACTTCCAATAGAAATGTTACTATACTGTTAGACACACAAAAAGAAAAATGCAACTTTAAGAATTTTTAAATTTAAAAGCCATAACTAGGTCTTCATTTCTTTTTCTTGATTCAAAATTTTCAAAACTCTTTTTCATGTCTCATCACCATGTGAAGGTATTTTCCAACAATTTCTCACATGAGTAACTTAAATAATAAAAAGTAGGAATGTTGCATGAAAATGGAGAATATTTTACGTCATGTCCAGATAGGAAGACATCAATCTATTTCAAATTTTGAGATCATTAAATCTTTGATTCATTTATCTGGAAAATAAGATGATAGTTCATTTGTTTTTAAAAAAATCAGTATATAGGCCATTGATGTCTATAATGGTACCACTAACTGACACTCCCCTTACTCCCCATGCAAAGCAAGTAGATAGATATGATGCTTGACTTTAAATTTACTATGTATCTGTGAACAACAGGGTATAATTTACAAAATGCTTCTCATAAGCCTAGACAGCACTGTTTCAGCTGGGGAAACTCAACATCTTCACCTTAATTCTAATGCTTAAGTGGAAAGAAAAAAAATAAAAGAACAAAAAATATCTGCTTTGATTACATCTACCACACTGAAAAGAGAATTCAAAAGCCTTCTAGAGAAAAGCATTTTTCCAAACTGGATGTCAGTAACAAAACAGAAAACTTTGAAACAGTACTGGGCTGCTGTTTTCAATTTCTAATTACAGCAAATCTGTAAAGACAAAATTCTGAAGGCAGAATTTGCTTTTATCAGTCAAGGGAGTGTAAAATACAGACCAACATAATTCCCTGGGTTCCATTAAATACATTCATTAAATGACGAGATAAAAGTCATTCAAGTTTTATCTGTTCTCTAAAGACTCCCCCCCCCCCC